TTTCACCATGTTGACCAGGATGGTCTCGATCTCTTGACCTCGTGATCCACCCGCCTCGGCCTCCCAAAGTGCTGGGATTACAGGCTTGAGCCACCGCGCCCGGCTTGACTATTATTTTAACAACTGTGTGATTGGCCAGGTACGGTGGCTGACTCCTGTAATTGCAGCACTTTGGGAGGCCAAGGTGGGCGGATCATGAGGTCAGGAGATCAAGACCATCCTGGCCAACACGGTGAAACCCCATCTCTACTAAAATACAAAAAATTAGCTGGGTGTGGTGGCATGCACTGATAGTCCCAGCTACTCTGGAGGCTAAGGCAGGGGAATCACTTGAACCCAGGAGGCAGAGATTGCAGTGAGCTGAGATCATGCCATTGTGCTCCAGCCTGGCGACAGAGGGAGACTCCATCTCAAAAAACAAAACAAAACAAAAATAAATAATGTGTAATCAAATTTGCACATGCAATTTTTCTTTCCTTCTAAATGATGTCTTTCAGTTCTGAAGCACAGGATAATCAGATAATCTTTATAGCCCTCAGTAGCCAGGGTCAAAAGGCCATCTTGGTTAATGGTTAATGATTGCCTTGCAGTTACCACCATCCTGAGTGATCCCAACCCCATCTGGCTGGTGGGCAGGGCTGCAGATGCTCCATTTGTGATTAATGCTGTCATCCGATACCCTGTGGAAGTCATTTCATATCCTTTCTATTAAAGAGTCCATGGCAGGTCTGGGTGTGGTGGCTCCTGCCTTTCATGTCAGCACTTTGGGAGACTGAGGTGGGAGGATTGCTTGAGCCCAGAAGTTTACAGTCAGCCTGGGCAAAATAGCAAGACCCTGTCTCTACCAAAAAAAAAAAAAAAAATTAGCCAGGCATAGTGGTGCACATGTGTAGTCCCAGCTACTTGGGATGCTGAGGCAGGAGGATTGCTTTAGCCCAGGAGTTCAAGGTTGCAGTGAGCTATGATTGTGCCACTGTATTCCAGCCTCAGTGACAGAGAGACCCTGTCTCTAAAAACAAACAACAACAACACACAAATCAATGGTAGCTTAGTTTTCAAAGGAGAATGATTCCTCAGTTGTCCCAAGTAGGAACACGTGGGAAGTTTTATCTTGGAAATCACTACAGAGTTATAGCCTCATAGAAATGTCTGTGTCTTGGAAGTTTAGGCTACGTGATTCGAAAAATGACTATGTATGTCTGCTTTTCATACAGGAAAAAATAATTCATTTCTTGGTCCTATTTCTTAACGAGCAATTCTTCTAGAAAAGAATCATCTATATTTATGTCTTAATAGTCATATATTATCAGCCGGGTGTGGTTGCTCATACCTGTAATCCCCACACTTTGGGAGGCTGAGGCAGGCAGATCACGAGGTCAGGCAATCTAGACCAGCCTGGCCAATATGATGAAACTCTCTCTCTACTAAAAAATACAAAAATTAGCCAGGACTGGCAGTGCATGCCTGTAATCCCAGCTACTCGAGAGGCTGAGGCAGAATAATTGCTTGAACCGGGGAGGCAGAGGTTGCAGTGAGCCAAGATCGTGCCACTGCACTACAGCCTGGGCAACAGAGTGAGACTCTGTCTCAAAAAAAGAAAATCATAGATTATCCCTTTTATGCTAAGGTTATGTGAAACATTCTTCCCAGTCCCTGTCTGATCTAAACTTTGGTTTAATTTTGACTTGTGTTAACTAATAGGAAATGAAACCAACACCAACAGTGCAGAGAAGCAAACAGAAGGCATTTTAACTGGGGTCTTAGGAATTACAATTCCAGAGACACAAATCTAGGAATCAGCTAATTTGTGTTCTATCCAGGCACAATTAGGCAGGGGCTTATAACAGTATTGTAAGTTTACACAACTGGAAGATTTTAGAGGAGTCCCTGATTGAGGATGGCTAACAACTCAGGATGTCTCTAGTCCATGATCAATCTAGTTTGCTTAGCAGGTTGTCTGATTAGGAGGTTGGTGATCAGGCTTAGTATATAAATAGTTCAAATCACATGTGGCAGGTTTTTACCATTTGGCCAAGTTCAGCACGTCAGCTTCCATCCAGGTGTGTACATGACAGAGGTCCGACTCCTTATGCCATCCTGCCTCCTTTCTAGATCCCTCTGCCACGGCCAGTTCCATCTTGGATTTTCTCTTCATACTTAACACCATGTGACCCTCCACTCCTTAACTGTCCGTACTTATCAGCCAGGATTCTGGGAGATGGTAAAGTTCGCCTGGGTGCAGTATGTCAGCATCCTGCTTATCTTCCTCTGGGTGTTTGAAAGAATCAAGATCTTCGTGTTTCAGAATCAGGTGGTGACCACCGTCCCTGTGACAGCGACGCCCCGGGGAGAAGTGTGGAAGGAGCACTTATCCTAGGAAGGCTGTTTCTGAGGGCTCAGCAGGACCGTGGCTGCCTCATTGTCATCTCCTGGGAACATCTTAGGATGTTTCTGAAAGAGCCCAGGGGACACATGCGGGCTTGTGTGCTCTTCCCCTCGGAGACAAAGAACAGTTCTTCCCTTTGCTCTATACAAGTTCCATATCTTCAGAGCTCCTGCAGAATCATCAGGGAGTAGTTTGTGGAAAGGTCTGAGGGTTCCTGGAGGCTGTAATTAGCTTTTTGGGTTTTTCTTCTTTGCCTTAGCGTTGAATTTCAGGAGAAAATTGCAGTCAGTTCAGACATCTTGGAAAGAGTCCCATCTCTGGTCAAGCAGAGACTTTTCCTCTGTTGAGTGAGAAACACACTGTGCATTTCTTCCTTCTACTGTGAGCCACTCTTACTCTTTTCAGGGCTCCCTTGTGACAAACATGCCAATCACTAGCACTTTGCACCCCTGGGCCTCTCCATTTCCCATTCAGAGCTTTGATTTCCAGAGCTGAGGCCTTTCGCTGCAGACCTAGAGGGGCAGGGCCCAAGGGGGAGGGCCGCCTTGGCACAGGCATGAGGGAGGGCCGCTGAAGGACACTCGGACCGTCCACCTGCCTCGGCCCGAAAGTCAGTCATCTGTCATCAGCTCAGCGGAGCAGCCCTGGATGCCTGCCTGCCTGTGGCTGGCTCTTTGCCCTGTTTTGCCCTCTGTCTGCGCCCCTGGATGGCAGGCTGAAGTCAGGGGGGCTGTTCATTCCCAGCCCCCTCAGCAGCACTGGGGGAAGAAAAGGTTGTCACAACAGGTTCTTTCTGGCCCTCACTCAACAGCCTGGGCACTTGGCCCTCCTCCTCCTTGACAGCCCTCCCGCTTCTGGAAAGGACAGGGGTGACAAGAGTTGGTGTTGGGATTGGCTCCCACTGCCTAACAACCACAAGTTTATTTGGAAGGCTAGCGGGAAGCCCAGCGGCTTGTGTTTCCCTTGACTAAGGAACAGGGTGCTCATTAGAGTGGGGCGGGCAGCTTTGGGAAGGACACAAGAAGCAGTGAGGGAGTAAGGAGGATGCTGGCCCGGGCAGGCCAGTCTAGCCTGGCCACTAGCAGAATGCCAAGCAGTCCAGCTGGATTACCAGGGTGGCTGAGCAAGTGTCTGCGGGAGCAGAGATGGCTGGAAGGGGCCTCTGCACATGGAAGACGGCTTGTTCAGCCTGTTCACCTCCTGAGGACGCGAGCCGTCTCCTCTAAGGACAGATGGAGCTGCTTCCTGATCCCAAGCAGGTCGTTGCCACTGGAAGACATGGCCTCTGTGATTTATGCATCATGCCCACAAACACACCTCTTAGTATGTGCCTCTGTTTACCTTGGAGATCAGCTCTCATCTCCAGCACCGTTTCCTTTAGGCTGACTAAAAACAGTTTTGGAAACAAAGCTATTGTCAAGTATACAAGCAGAGGAATTCCCTAACACTGTCCCCCTAGTCTTTTTTTTTTTTTTTTTTCAGGCTGTTTTATATGCCTAAATTTTTTTCTTGAGATATAAATGAAAAATAGTTTCTTGTTTAAATTCCCATAAGGTAATGAGATATGGAAAGATGGCAATATATGTGTAAACATTGGTTTGTATTTTATTAAATCATTCTCATGAAAATTTTGTGTAAAGAACACATGATGTTTTGTAATTTTCTAATTAAAATGTTCAAAATGAGGCCGAGCATGATGGTTCATCCCTGTAATCTCAACACTTTGGGAGGCCGAGGCAGGAGGATCACTTGAGGCCAGGTGTTTGAGGCTGCAGTGAGCTATGATCACACTACTGCACTCCAGCCTGGGTGACAGAGTGAGACCCTGTCTCTAAAGAAAAAAAAAAAAGTCAAAATGGAAGATCACATGTACCTTTTTCCAGGGAAGGGGTTTGGAATGGGGAAGAATAGGGAGGGCAGAGGTTGCACACGCCTGTCTTCATTATTCATGAGCAGCAGTACTTTACAAAGCCTCTGCCCGAAAACTGGAACTTGTGTTACGTCTTTGGTGAAAGTTCTCTGGTTCTTCTCGAAGTGAGTGAGTTTTTAGTGGAATTCACATGCCATGTGAAAGCCACATGCTGGATAATTACAACTGCATCTGGTTATTAAATTATTTACAGATCAGATGTTGATAGTTTCTGACTCTGAATCACAGCATAGCTGCAAGAAGTGAAAAGGCAATAAATATACAGGATTTTATTAACTCAGCTCTGACCCATAGCTAAGTTAACGTTTGATATTGCTGAATATTTGGAAGCAGAAAGACTCCTGATTTTGCAAAATGATTAGTACAGTTTCAGCTTAAGTCAGATGAGACCCCCCCCAATATCCCGTCATGAAAGGCTAAAAACTAATTCTTTCTTTACTTGTTGCCCAGGCTTGAGTGCAATGGTGCCATCTCTGCTCACGGCAACCTCCACCTCCAGGGTTCAAGCGATACTCCTGCCTCACCCTCCAGAGTAGCTAGGATTACAGTTGCCTGCCACCACGCCTGGCTAATTTTTGTATTTTTAGTAGTGACGGGGTTTCACTGTGTTGGCCAGGCTGGTCTTGAACTCCTGACCTCTAGTGATCCACCTACCTCGGCCTCCTAAAGTGCTGGGTTCACAGCAGTTTGATCACGGAAGTTATTATGGTTGGCATTGTGGCACACATCTTTCTAATCTTTTTTGTTGGCATCTTTTTAGTATTATAAACAATACTTCTATAAACCTTGTGTAGAAATCCTTGTTGCTGGTTTATTTCCTTAAGACATATTCAAAAAACTTACGACCATTGTTAAGGATCGTAATTCATTGTGAAACCACAGCCGGGAAAGACTGTGCAAATTTCTACTCCAGCAGCGCAGACTTCTTGTTTGATACCGCCGTGGGTTACAGTACCTCTGAATGCTCTGTCCTTTTCAGTTGGCTGGGCTCTGCCCTGTTCTTTGTTTGTTTGTTTTAGAGATGGAGACTCACTTTGTCACCCAGGCCAGAGTACAATGCCCACGTTTCATCACGCTGGCCAGGCTGGTCTTGAACCATCTCAAGTGATCTGCCAGCCTCACCTCCCAGAGTGCCAGGATTACAGTTGAGTGCCACCATGCAATGCTGTCCTGACCTGTTATCTGTAAAGGGTGGGTGAGGATCTTTTATTTCCTGAAACATATCCTGCTATGAAGCTGTGCCTCTGGGCAGAGGCTAGGGCAGGGAGGGCCCAGCTCCTAAGGCCACCTGGTCTCTCCACACCTCCCAGATACAGCACTACTGCACCAGGCCCCTGTGTCACCCAGGTGCCTGGGTCTTGGCTTAGGGCTGAGGCTGGGGCCTCGGGAAGGGTTTGGATTCCAAGTCACTTTGCAGCAAGGATGCCTCCGAGAGCAAGGAGGGCCAAGATTAAGATTCAGCTTCCTTCAGTAAGGCCTTTGTTATTTTGCGGTTAGATGAGAGGTGACTCAGCCAGCACCCTTTGACATCCTCGCCTCTCAAAGCCCCAGCCTACCTAAGCCCTCCTGCTGCGCCCTCAGCCGGCGCCCCTCCCCCAAGGTGTGGCTCCTCTGTCAGGGGTGGGGAGAGGGAGTTAGGGGCAAACCGGTTCCATCCTTCCCCTACCGCCCGGGCTCCTATTGGCCACGCCTGAAAGTGCCACATAGTGTGCGCTCCAGGCTAGCAGCACCAGGCAGCAACGAGGGTTGCCGGCCACAGTGCCAGGCTCCGGAGGGGGCTCTGGGCCAGGTACCTCCCTGCGGTAGCCCCAGGACACCCCCCCCCCACATCCCATTCAGATTCGCTCTGCCTCGAGTCTCCAGGAGCTTCCAGTGGCTTGGTCCCCTGACTCCCATCCATGCCTCTTAGAGCCCTTTTCCCGGCCTCACGGGCTGTCCCGTCATAGTCTTGGGACCTTAAGGAGCAAGTCAGCCCTGCGGACCGTCCCAGTGAAGAGAAGGAGCTGGCTGTGCGGTGGAACTTGGAAGAGACGACGTCTGGGAGCCTTTGCTGAGCCCAGGGAGAGAGGCGTCCCACTCCCTGCTGCGCCAGGTAGGGCAGAGACGCCAAGCTTTGAGGTACGTTGGTTCTTTACTCTCCACGGGGGATGTCCCCACACTTGGGTGGGCTGGGAGCCGGACCAGTGACACAGTTGGGGATGCTCCTCTGTCTTCACTGGGGACCTGGGTTGGCGGGAAGAGCTGGGGTGCTTTTCCATCAGCAGCTGGAAAGCTGGGGCTTCAGCTGCACATGGGATCCTCACTGAGGGGGTCTTTTGTTTCCATACTTGGCTTTTAAAGGGCATGTCTTTCAAAAGCTTTCGGTAGAGTACTTGAGAAAAAGTAGCTTGGTGAGTTAATTTGGAACCAGACTCAGGAGAATTGGAATTGTGCCTCACTGCCCCTAGCAGCTTGATGTTGGGTTTCAGGACCGGGCCCTCTGGGCCATAGGACAGGTGCCTAGGAAGTGTTTTTGTTTGCTTGTTTGTTTTGCGACAAAGTCTGGCTTTGTCTCCCAGGCTGAAGTGCAGAGGTGATCTTGGCTTACTGTAACCTCCGCTTCCCAGGCTCAGACGATTTCCTGCCTCAGCCTCCCCAGTAGCTGGGATTACAGGTGCCGGCCACCACACCCAAGCTAATTTTTGTATTTTTAGTGTTACACCATGTTGGCCAGGCTGGTCCGAACTCTTCAGGTATATATCCCCACCCACCCACCCCTGCCGAATCCTGCCTCAGCCTCTCAGGCTGGGATTACAGGCATGAGCC